GGACGCGGACCCTACGCGTACTCCCATTAATTAGTGTTTTTCGTTAATAATTAAGAAACCATGGTTCACCTTGCACGTTACAAAGGAAATTGTTGTTCAGAAACGCCTCTAAAATCACCCCTTTTCGGTTCTAATACTTTTTCTGGGACACCCTGTACGTAAGTGTGTATGTCGACGGCCAATAAACATGATTACGTACGTTAAGAGTAACTTTTCTAATGAAATAGTGTAGCCATGAAAATCTTATTAAAACGCTCAAGTTTGTGTGTACTGGCGAGCTACTATTTTCGAATCTGATCAATATCGATGAAAACGGAACACTTATAAATGTCTGAACTTTTGAACTTGTGACCCGTACCGTTTCAACGTACGTACGTACGTACGTACGTACTTACGTATGGAAGTTTGTTTCCGTCTTAGAAAGTGTATCCAGCCTCCGTCATAAATTATTCTAACATTGACGGGTTTCGTACCCGGCGCTCGGAAATATATTTGTCCTCGAGTGTTACACGCGAGCCTCCAGTAAAATATTCAGGCGCGACACGAGAATCGTACGTTCGGTAACAAACGCCGTTAGAAAAAAGGAAAAAGTTGAAAGCGCAAAAATTGCGTTCTGGCTTTTTAATTACGAACTTGTTTAAAAACCGGTTAAAACATCCCCGAGTCTGGATAAATCCCTCTCTGACGAATGTAGGGCAACTTGAAACAGAAACAGACAGCTATTCTCGAAACCAACGCGGTTACCAATTTATTTCATAATAAATGAAGTGCAAAACTCGCGTTAAAAATAATTTTATGAAAAATGTCAGTTAAATTTAAATGGAATAATATTGTAAATGATAAAAATATATCTTTCTTATATATATATATATATTGTTTAGAGATTGTATTGAAAGGTTTCATAAAATTAGAGAATAATGAATAAACGCAAATTTGGATATTAATTGTACAAAAGCTGACATCTTTAGAAGAAGCATAAAATTGACCTAGATTCACTCAAGCAAGGCTTTAATTAAAACAATTTCAGCGCGAATCTACAAACGTTCTTACTTCTTTTTATCTTCCTATTCATCCGGCGTCCTTATTTTTTTCACTCGGCATACGGCTTTGTTTCTTATTCATACACCAGTTCCTTGGAGCTGGGAAAAGGCATCTCTCTGAAATATTCAGAATAGTCATCTATTCTATGTATATAAAAGAATCATACGTAACCCGAAACGTTCGGTGGGCTAGAAATGAGACCAGAAACGGAAACGTCCACTCTTACCCCAGTTTGAATGCTATTGTCAGCATTCAACGGAGATTTCGTCCGCGAAGGATATTGAACTTTGCCGATCTAAACATTTCGAGTACACTCATTCATCCCGCGAACTGTGAACTTCTAAAAGAGCTCCTCGGCTGTTCAATAATCGCTCATATGAGGATACGATTTTATTCTGGCCCTCTAGACAGATACAGTAGGTCCTGGTTAATTGATACAATGGCAATTCGGCATAAATACTGAAGAATGAAAACAAAAAGTAGACTACAATACAATTTCGTTTGGCTTACGTTGGACAGACTGTCCTTTTATTGAAACAATTTTTGCAATTGCAATAACATATAATTAGAGCTAGTTACAAAGTAGTGGCACTGATTAGTAATGTAGACATACAGTGCAGTCCATAAATATTCATACACATTTCAAGAGTGAATAACTTTTTTAATGTCGGAACGAATTAATTTTCTTTAGATATGAGGGAGATTGGTTTAATATGTGGTGTAAAACGAAGTACTCTTTAAAATTGTTATAAATCAGATTTACGAAGAACCAAATAAGGGGGACTATTTTTTAATTTTTTATTTAACTCTCAAATAAGAATTTAAAGCATGTTTTTTGTAGATCTAAGGATCTTATATGAATATAGAAAGTTTCATAAAAATCTGTCAAGACAAGAATGTTCGACTTTTTAATTTTCTCATTTTATTGAAATTTTAGGCCAAAAGTCATCAAAACCAGCATTTTATCATTTCTCAACCGTTTATGATCATAACATCACTCTTTTCTGTACAAAACGGGAATAAAAGATAATAAAAAGGGAACATAAGAACTTGGCTTTCTCTTTATTCGCATCGATCTGTTCCAATTCTTTTCGAGTATATCGATTTCACACTCGTCTCTTGGTAACGTCAGCCTTCATCCTACAGCGGAGGGAGATTAGTGAACTGCAATTGTTTGAATCATTTAAAGATCGATTACGTAACAGAGTGGCGATGTAAGCGATAGATAGATAGATTTTCACACAATTCTTTATTTAGCAGTTTTCCATTCCTTTATTAGTACCAATTTCCATATAAAAAAGTGATACTACCTCTGTCCCATAGTAATAGTAGCAAAAAAAGAATAAATATAGAACGAAACACTTATTATCAAGAAGCTAGATTAAATTAAACAACAAATTAAAAGTATTGCTCCTAATTTTTATTTTGAGTGTTCACATAGTTTCTAGATCTTTCGAAACATTTTCTATCAATGATAATTGTTAATCGTTATTTTTCCATAACCATCTACTTTTATCTCTGCAGCTTTTAAGTTCCGTTAAAGCTTTCTACATTTAGTATCTCAATTTACATTCCCCTTTATCTGAAAGCTTTGTTTGGATATCGAATAACTGGTCTATTATTACCAGTCCTCCAGCTTCTTCAGATAATCGCCGGTCGATTGTGCATCGAAAATAATTTGAATCAACGACACGCCTGATTATCTTCATAAAATCTTTAACTCTTGATCAGTTGCATGCATAATTAATCGGTAGCTGGTCAATTCTTCACTTCAACAAAGAGCTTATCATCGTTCTAGGAGAACTTCGTTACATTCGAAGATATCTTTGTAGTAAAGCAGTCAAATGGAAATTTATTCATACATGGAAATATATCAATATAATATATTCATCAATATATTTCTATTAATATGCAAAATTGTTTTCCAATTTTATCTGTATTTAAAAACATTAAATTAATGGTATAATAATAATATCAGGGGGATAAAATAGAATTGACACATTAACATCGTGAATGAAATGAAGTAGTTTTGTACGATTTAGAGTTGAAGACAGTATTAAAAAATGTATTGAATATGTATGATGGTTGTACGACTCTGCCTGACTCTACATCGTATGCATAACGAGAGTTCTTGAACATATCACGTACCAATACACTCACCCTCCCCCCTCCCCGTATCGAATGTTAAAGTGCCAATACTTGATACCGCTCAATGACTTACCAAAGCAATTGTCTCGAGAGTAAACTATATAGAATGAAAGCTGATTCTCTGTCACAAGAACCATCATGCTCTTCCTTAATTTTCATTCCATCATACAAAATAAACATACCCTTCCATTATTGCTCTTAGTAACATTGAATTTCAATAAATCGTTAGATATAAATGTAAATGATTTTGTACATTTCATTTGTTTATATACAGGGTGAATCAATCACAAGTAGCATGTACAATGACTTGTTGTTTAACGATTTTATCGAAACTTGTATAGATTTTGACTATATGTATAATGGAGTACAGTAAATGAATTAATTTTTTTGTTTTAACTTTGAGTAGATATTTTGTGCCTCAGATTCTATAATAAAACCAGTGACTATCAGAAATTTATACAAGAATTATATTTGATACACGTCAAGAAGGAGTATCACGTATAATATCTTGTTATTTAATGACTTTACCAAGCATGCATATTAATTCGATAGAGAACATTAAATGAATTATTCTTGTATTTTAATCAATTTAAATGAGTTTTTGTCAGACTTTATAATACAATTATTAGTGGTTAGTTTTAATTGTTATTTCTAACTGATTCAGCCTGTATACAGGGTCTTCGCTAAGGCAAACCATCTGCATAACTTCAACATTTTTTTAAATAATACTATTTATAATTTATAATTGTAATAAGACTATTTTCCATTATTAGAAAATTTATTGTAAAATGAATAATGCTTGAAAACATTGTTTCTACAGTATAACGTAACTCAAATGCTCGTACAATGATTTTATTAATCATTTTGCTATCTACAAGAATTCTATTAGGATGTGTTACTATGAAAGTGGTATAAGTCAAAAATAAAAACATTCAAATTTTCATTTGCATTATTTATATTTCAGTAGTACGAAAGAGTTCTTAGCTTTACCACTGAACTACTTTCATAATGTCCGCCGCACGTAAGAATGGGAAAGTGATACAAGCAGTTTATGGTCAGACTGCTAAGTATAATTATATGTCTACGGTTAGATTGTTAAGTTAATCACTTTCTGGATCTACAGTTAAAGTTCATCTTGCTCTAAAGATCAAAGTTTATGTAATCAAAACGATAGTAAGATTTTACATAGACAAAACCCTAATGAATTCAATTTTAACGATAATATAATATTTTCACGTTCGTGTTTTATTTCAAATCGGCTACCAATTTTTCCAATCATCTATATTATATGACATTTAATGATAAAATCACACGATTCTCAAATTATGTATTTCGTAACGAAAAACAGTCTTCAAGGATGATTATGATAAAATTATCTGTCATGTGAATAGCAGACAACGATATAGAAAAGATATTTAGGTAGCTTGTTTTAACTGCAATTGCTACGCCATAATTCTTGAACTTGGAACCTTGTGCAGTCTTTACAGATAGTAGAGAATGTTGTTACCAAATCAAGTGTGAAAACGAAACAATGAAACCAGACACGAATGGCTTTAACGATGGATCATGGAATTTAAGGGCGTTCGTGAGGAGCAGTTGTTCAACTTAAAACGAATTCACGTTCACATGATCATTAACATTCATCAATATGCCTTTTTTAAACAAGATTTGTATAAAAATCCCAAGTATACAGGGTCTTCGCTAAGGCAAACCATCTGCATAACTTCAACATTTTTTTAAATAATACTATTTATAATTTATAATTGTAATAAGACTATTTTCCATTATTAGAAAATTTATTGTAAAATGAATAATGCTTGAAAACATTGTTTCTACAGTATAACGTAACTCAAATGCTCGTACAATGATTTTATTAATCATTTTGCTATCTACAAGAATTCTATTAGGATGTGTTACTATGAAAGTGGTATAAGTCAAAAATAAAAACATTCAAATTTTCATTTGCATTATTTATATTTCAGTAGTACGAAAGAGTTCTTAGCTTTACCACTGAACTACTTTCATAATGTCCGCCGCACGTAAGAATGGGAAAGTGATACAAGCAGTTTATGGTCAGACTGCTAAGTATAATTATATGTCTACGGTTAGATTGTTAAGTTAATCACTTTCTGGATCTACAGTTAAAGTTCATCTTGCTCTAAAGATCAAAGTTTATGTAATCAAAACGATAGTAAGATTTTACATAGACAAAACCCTAATGAATTCAATTTTAACGATAATATAATATTTTCACGTTCGTGTTTTATTTCAAATCGGCTACCAATTTTTCCAATCATCTATATTATATGACATTTAATGATAAAATCACACGATTCTCAAATTATGTATTTCGTAACGAAAAACAGTCTTCAAGGATGATTATGATAAAATTATCTGTCATGTGAATAGCAGACAACGATATAGAAAAGATATTTAGGTAGCTTGTTTTAACTGCAATTGCTACGCCATAATTCTTGAACTTGGAACCTTGTGCAGTCTTTACAGATAGTAGAGAATGTTGTTACCAAATCAAGTGTGAAAACGAAACAATGAAACCAGACACGAATGGCTTTAACGATGGATCATGGAATTTAAGGGCGTTCGTGAGGAGCAGTTGTTCAACTTAAAACGAATTCACGTTCACATGATCATTAACATTCATCAATATGCCTTTTTTAAACAAGATTTGTATAAAAATCCCATATACGATTCAACTTTGGGATTGAATTGGGATTGGGACTATACGATTCAACTTTGGGATTGAATATCTCGACTTTTAATACCGTAACGAGTATTCAGTTTTCGAGGACATATAAAAGACACTTAAATTAATATTTATTGTAAGTTTAGAAAGAAATTGAACGACATGAATTGTTATGCGAACGTCCTTGAACTTGAAACCCTTTGCAGTCCTCGTAGGTAGTAGAAAATGTTGTTACCAGCCCAAGCGTGGAAACCAAACGATGAAACCGGGTAGGAATCGCTTTAAGGGTGGGTCACGGATGGCGCCACGGTGAAGGCGGCCACCCCCGCCGTGCGAGGGTGGGCGAAACGAGGCGCGGCGTGGCGAGAGCTGGAAATTCACCCCCTGTGATCGCGAATCCGCCACCAACGGAGTTTGGAAAGTCGCCATTTCTGCCTAACTAACTCCGCAGTCGCTACAATCCCTACGGTTTAATGCCAATGAAATGTCAAGGCACGTCGCGCGTTATAGACTCGCCGACGTTGTCGAGCAGTTCGGTGACATCGTAAACCCGGTGGATCGTCACGCTGTCGTCGCGGGTCCTCGGGACCTCGTTGCTCGCGCTCGTACTCCGGCTCCTGCTGGTGTTCGCGCCCGTGCCCGCTCCACTCGTGCTCCCACCTGTGTTCGTGATCCTCGCGTTTTGCAACCGTGCCCGTGGCCGTGCTCGGTGTATCCGGAGCCGCGACTCGAGCAAGCTCGCTCCTGCCGTTTGAACGTCGAACTGCGTGCGAGGAAAACGGAACGAGGACGAGGATAGAAAAGAGGTCGAGGCCTAAGTAAAGTGGTGAACCGAAACCCTTATTCCTGAGTGATTCCCTGACCTTGACACTCGCGACGAGACCCGGTCCGTCGACGAGGGTAGTTGTTATTCGGCTACGTTTGTGCTAACGGTAAACGGGGGGAGCAGGAGGCCGCGAGTACAACCGCCTGAATTCTGGCGGAACAGAGAGAGCCCTTGATCAAAGTCTTATATGCTACGAACGACGGTCAGGTAAAAGAAATCGTTCGTCGGAGACCGCCGCCGAATCGGTTCACGATGAGCGAGCAGGATGTGGACGACGTCGCTTTTCTGACAGGTGAGACACGCGCCAGAGGCGCTGGCCAACTTTCACGATTCCCTTTTATCCCGCCTTGTCGTTACATCTACCCTTAAAGTCGCGACGTTCCACTTCCAGTTACTCGCTCTCCCTTTTCATTCGCCAATTCATCTAAGTTTCCCGGTCGGTTTCTTTCCCTCTCTTTTCTCCGTGCGCGCTTCGCCTCCTTTCCATTTGGAATCGTTCGACCAGATGGCCCACTTACGACCCTCCGGGCTACGAATAGACTATACGAGAAGCACGTGCGTACGATCAATAAGAGACGAGCTTCTGATCTTTCAAATTAAACTACGCAATCCGCCTACTCTCGCGTGCGTCTGCCTTTGTTTCGTGTACTCGTACGAGCAAACTCATTAACGAATAGAACGATACCTGCGAGTGCACGAACAACTCCTTTTCAGTTCGCAACCATAGAATATGTTACACCTCGGCAAAGAATTTTTCTAATAATTGCCTTCCCTAATCCTCGATATATTAATTTGTTTGCTTCTCACACTTCGCTTCCGTGTTTAACTGGTATCATCATACTGTGCGCATTGTACAAACATCTGTTGAAGCTGAACGTTCCTCGCGACGTGAACGCTTTACCTCGAATTTAATTGAGATAAATTCAAGGTCAAGCCAGAGCTGCGCAATTGGGTAAAAATGTACGCAAGCATTTTACATGTTGTGAAGTAACTGCATTAACGTCACTGTGCACCGTGCTGGGCAGTCAAAAATCTGGGTCAAGTGTGTAACCGAGGACAAACTTGTTTCTCGTGTCGCTGGATAGAAGCATTTCGTGTTTGGCAACTTTGTTATCTCGTTACAAGTCCTACCTACTTTTCACATTTTTTCGAAAAACTTCTTGAATCTCTTCATCGTACAATGTTCCTTCATCAATTCACATCGTGAAAAATGTATGAAAAGTTAATAATAGGAAATATTTTTTAACAGCGAAGAATTATAACGGGTGATAAGAGATACAGAAATACAATATTCAATTTTTGTACACGTGATTCTGATTATTTTTTTTTTATATCATTTTCTATCAAAGCGTACAGATGTTGGGGCACGCGTGATCATTATTCAGGGGACCCTTTGTTCCAGGAGACAGCAACACGGGACTGCACAAACGTAGTATTTACGAGCACAGCGGAATTGTGTGTTCACAAAAGAGAGCTCTCTGCGTAGCCACCGTCGTCTTTGCGATCCTTTTCGCCATATCACTCATCATTGCCTTCGCGGGACCACAAAATGGTAAACATCTTATTATAATCCATAGCTTTTAGATCACGGATTTGATGCATTTAGAAGATTGAAATTATAAATAATGAATAAACTTATATAAACTATTAAAAGTAAGTGCATATAACAGTGCTTAAGGACGTTATGGTGACAATTGTTTTATTGTTGTACTAATACATAATTGCATGACTGATATTTCTCAAGACACTATTTACTACAATTTTAATGGAAATATTAGATACCATGTCTTATGAAAAAACTACACACGTTATGCATTTATAGAAAAATTATTTGTATATCTTCCCTGATTTTTTTAATTATAATATGGATGCGTTTTGAAATACTGTGAATGAAACTGTAAGAAACTGACAATCTATACTATTTTTTTTGGCATATGTTTCTTTTTAAGATATTTAATAATAGCTAGAACAATTTTTCAAGAAGCTGTCATTCTTTTTTCGTTGACGTCTTTAGTTAGTCTTCATAAGAATAGATGTTAAACTGAAATTGCGATAACTTTTAAACGAGCTGATAAACATTTTCACGTATGTTTGTAATAATAATTAAAGTCAGATAATGAAGTCTCAATAGTGTTTTTACTTATTACTAACATTCTTAATTGGCCAAGGTATGTTCTTCCGATGGTAACATTTTCGTCATCTGCCGCGTATTTCATCGCGATATTGAGAAACGACAACTTAATGTTTAATTATGCATTTACTCTTTGCGTTAAAGACGTACATATTACGAGACTTATTTCTATTTGATTTCTATGACATGCACCACACCACAGCGCGCCTGTCTCCCAATTATTTCGGATAACTGACGTTCTACTGTATTTAAAAAAGAACGAAAGCGCAACTATATTCTTGTGTCACCCGCGTATTATCGGTTTCACGTATTCGGTTTTTAATAGACTGCCCTTGCGCTGGAGAGAAGCCAGCCAACCTGGAAATCGAGGACGATGAAAAAAGCAGCGAGCCTCTCGCAACTAATGGGGAGGTATGGTTATACTTATGTTTGCTTTGCTGGCTTATACACGATCGTAAACGTCGAACTGGAGCAAAACATGTAGTACATCCTAACACATATCGCACATAGACATATAATCCGCGAATAATCAAGAGTATGTCTATCTACTCGTAGAAAATCTGAAACGGGCCACGATGAATAATGCATGCCAGCCTATATCGTTAAAATGTACTGTGTAACGCCGGATAATGATCACATAATGCGACGTTGTCTTTCATATTTTTAGACAATCTCTTTTTCATCGGTCTTTTTCATCTCTTCAGTTACAGCCAGACCGCAGATTTTTGTACAACGTACATTTCTGAGGTCAACTGAGGAAATGAATACTAAAACAATTTAATAATTAAAATAATTTATAAACAATAATACATAATTCATTTTTGATCTTACGTCTTAAATACATATT